GGAAGGAAGGAAGGAAGGAAGGAAGGAAGGAAGGAAGGAAGGAAGGAAGGAAGAAAGATGTAAAGAGAAGAAAGAGAAAAATAGAAGAAGGAAGGAAGGAAGGAAGGAAGGAAGGAAGGGAGAAAGAGAGAGAGAGAAAGAGAGAGAAAGAAAGGAATAAAGAACAAAAAATGAAAAGAGAAGAAAGGAGAGAAAAATAGAAATAGAGATAGAAAGGAAGGAAGGAGAGGGGGGAAGGGAGGGAGGGAAGAGAAGAGAAGAGAAGAGAAGAGAAGAGAAGAGAAGAGAAGAGAAGAGAAAGAAATGCATAAGGAATTGTAAGCTTTCAGTTTTATCGGTTTAGTCCTGCAAAAGACCTAGTCATGCTGAAATAACAGGCTGGCATTTACTCATTAACTTTGAGGAAATGCTTCACTAACGCTTCTTAGTGAGACAGTGAAGGTGGACAGCAACTTGGCAGCCTCAGTCACGGCCAGGCTGCGCGTGGCACCCTCCGCTATCGCCATCCACAAACCACTCCAGCCCAGTTGGGCCCCCGGCACACGCACGCCACTCCAGGCATGCCAGGATCCCCACTCTAGAGACGACCATGCCAACCAAGCCGGGTGCCCACCTCCGCCCGGCCCAGAGGTGTGTCCCAATACCGATGCCCTCTGCAAAGCGTGGCGCTTTCTGCCCATGGTCCGCCCTGAAAAGGAGCAGCGCAATGGGAATGTGGGCATCGTTGAGGGTTGCTACGCGTCTTCCCTCTCTCCTTTCAAACGAGACAAATCGTCCATGCATTTAAGAATTTAAATTCAGAAAAGGCACATGTGGAGGGAGGGAAAAACCCAAGAAACTCAAGCTCCTTTGCCATTTCCTCTGTCTCTCTTCCAGTGACTGAGATGAGTAATTATTCAAAGCCTTCAGCACATCCTTGCTCTCACTTTTTATTCCTGCTACTTCTGCCAGTGTTTCTCAACCTTAGCAACTTGAAGATGGGTGGACTTCAACTCCCAGAATTCCCCA